TAAAAGGTGCAAAATAGTAGATGCGAATGGGACTTTTATTAAGAAAAGGATTTCTATCCTCCCAGAAATTCTTCCCAAACATTCAAGATACCTTAAATCGCTTTTGCAGGTCATGATATAGATCATAACTCACGGATAAGGGTACAACCCGATTTTATATTTATATAACCATCGTATGGTTCAAGCTATTTTTGGGGTCTTAGTCCCTTTTTATTTTTTGGCCCTTATTAGGCATCTTTGTGTCTAAGGGGGTACAGAACCTCTTCGCATAAAATTTGAAATTTTCAGAGTAGGGCCCATATTGGTCTTGAACACATTCATCAATTGATTTGGCTAAAAAATTTTGTTATGCTACCATGGGGAAGGGAACCATCATACAGATAATTGCCACATAGGAATTATTTAAGTAAAGTCTCCACATTGGAGTATCCCCAAGTCCACTTTCACACCTAATGTGTGGTCAGAAAGGAAAATTTTGTATTCTATTGAATTTGTAACTCCCAAGAGAATATTGGTTGGGAACGTAGATTTGGAATGTACATCTATATGAAATAAATTGTGGGAACATGAACAAATTACAAATATAAGAAAGTAGTACGGGACCGAATATTTGTCGAATCGACATTGAATTATACTATGATGAAAAATATGGACTTTATGGGGTCTCCAATTTACAATTTAAATGGAAAATAAAAAAAATTCCCATCTTACGGTAATGGGTGTGAAATACCTATAATTTTGAGTTGGCCTCTATTTGCCATATTGGATTATAAGGGGTAGAAGAAAGTTTTCAAAGTAGGTCGATGTTTCGGAGTAGTGCCCATATAAAGGTACCTTCTGATTTTACCATATTTCAAAGGATTTGGCTAAAAATGTGTATTCGGGGTGAAAATCTTACACAAAAATGTCAACATATTCACAAATTTTAGAAATTTCTCCATGCAATAGTATCCCCTCAAGTCCACCTTTTGGCGGACAAACAGACCGACATGGTTAGGGGACTTATGAGGACTCTAATGCACAATCTAAGGTGCTAATGGGTTTAAAAAAGTAATTAACTTTGCCTATTCTTAAATCATTCAGCCCTCAATTATGAGGTGTACAAAATACAGTAAATTCCAAATTGCTTCTCATTTGACTGTAAAATTTTGCTACGATTTTTACCATACTAAAAATTAATTTGATCCCTTACATGTGGATAACATTCATATATACTTTTTAATAGATTTGTATAGCACATCCACACATTTGAAGCACACGGTTTAAATATTGAAGTCCACGGCTTATAAATGGGTACAGATATTTTAAAACACTTTTAATCGACCAGTACGCAAACACTTACATCAGTCATATCTGTGAATAATTATGCTTTTAAAAATATGCATAATAAACAAAAACTACGGGCCGGCAACGCGGACCGGGCCAGCTAGTATGTATATATATATATATATATATATATATATATATATATATATATATATATATATATACATATATATATATATATATATATATATATATATATATATATATATATATATATATATACAACAAATGTACATTAGGAAAAAGTAAGTTAAAATGGAAAAAAGTCATGCAAAATAAAACATTGCTATTGCACATTTGAAAAGTCAAAATGAAAATGTTAATATATCACATTTTTTTGGATATTATCCTTTTCGGACAGGAGACAATTCCGAATTTGTATGAATCGTTAAAATCAGTCCAGCGGTTCTTAAGTTATAAGCGTAGTAACTAACACAACTTTCTTTTATATATATAGATTCTTAGGAAGTTAGAATATATACGTTTCGTTTAGGTATAAAAGTACGTTGAGATTTTAAATGTTTTGATGCTTTGAGAAGTAGTTTTTAATCAAAATTGTATAGAATATATGCAAAATTTCGCGTTTTTTTTTTTTTTTCAATAAGAATTTTCAATTCCAAAAGGCATTCTGAAACACGATTTTTCTAGAGGCTTTTTTCAAAATTTTCATTCATGAAAACGTTTCCACTACAATTACAAATAACCAAAAGGACATTTGAGTCAATTCGGCCAAGCAGTTCTCAACTGATGTGTTACTATTTTTTTTTTTTTAAATTGTATACATATAAATTTAAAGAAGTATGTGTGGCCAGTTCCTCTGACCCCAAACAGATGCATAGGGTTGGAGGGAGAGTCAAGAGTACGTCATATACTAACTATGGAACAAATATCTTCATTATTTTGGCAAATATTAGGATTTTAGGTAAATCGAAAAATGGGCGTAAAAGTAGGCGTGGTCATAAAAACCAAACTCGCGGTAGGACGAACATTTTAAAAAAAGTATTCAAATCTGTCCAGCCGTTCCTAGCTGATTCGATTACCAACGAACAACAAATGATTTTAATACATATATATAGATTAAAAAGTAGTCGTTGTCAGTTCCTCTGCCCGGGTATCACGGGTAATAATTTTCAAACCGGTATCTTCATTATTTTGGCAAATATTAGTATTTTAGATAAATCGAAATAGTTGGCGTAAAAGTAGGCGTGGTCAATATTTTATTTTTTAAAAACCTAACTCGGAGTATGACGAACGTTTGTGCCAAAAAACAATGCAAATCGGTCCAGCCGTTCTCAACTGATTCCATTACCAACGAACAACAATTGATTTTTATATATATAGAATAAGAAGATTCCTAGGAAGTTCGAATAAGTCATTTTGTTTAGGTATAATAATACCAGTAAACATTCGTCCTTTTGCATGTTTTTGTTACAATTTCTACCGAATGAACTGTAATTTGACATTTAAAGTTGTCAGTATTGTGAAATCAATACCGGCAATAATAATAACTGTTTACTGTTGGTTCCCCATTAGGCATAGCCTCAATTTAAAAGTACGTTGTGGTTTTTAATGTTTTGATGCTTTGAAAAGTATTTTTTAATCAAAATTAAAAAATTTTGGTATGGCAACCATATAACGGCATGTATAGAAAATATGCAAAATTTCTCGATTTTTTTGTGTGTTTAGATACACCCTTGGGAGGATATAAATGCCGCTCATGATGTATCAATAACCAAAAAATGATGTATCAATAACCGAAAATTGATGTTTGAAAATAAGTGGGTATTCACAATAGTGACCATCTGCAAGAATAATAATGCATCTTCCAATGTATTATCATGATCAAACAAATGTTAAGCAAATGTAAAACAATTTAAAAAGCAGTAAGTTCGGCCGCGCCGAACTTTGAATACCCTCCACCATTTGGAACGAATTTGAAAATTTTCACAAAATATAATCTGTTAAAAATTATGGGGTTTATAAGAATAAAGCCGTCTACATGGGCATTGTTTGTCATAAGCCGTTACCGTATTCAAATTCGAAACTTGAAATAAACGGTGAATAATGTAGCTAATATCATTAAAATACCATATATATCGGAGCTATACGAAGACCTGGACCTGCAAAGACAATTTTCTGTCATAGGCTGTAGCATCGATTACGATCTTCAAATACGACATCTCAAACAATTTCGGTGAGTATTGTACCTAAAATCGTCAAAATACCAAATATAGGGAGGTACTGACATACGGAGCCTATACGAAGACCTAGACCAGCATAGACAATTTTCTGTAATAGATTGTAGCATCCATTACGAAGTTCAAATACGACATCTCAAACAATTTCGGTGGGTATTGTACACGTCAAAATACCGAACTTAGGGAGGTACTGATATTTGGGGCCTAAACGAAGACCTGGACCTGCATAGACAATTTTCTGTCACAGACTGTAGATCCCATTACGAATTCTAAAAACGTAATTTGAAACAATTCCAGTGAACAATGACGATAAAATCATCAAAATACCGAATATTAGGAGGTACCGTTATGTGGGGGCTATACGAAGACGTGACCTGCATAGAAAATTTTCTGTCATGGGCTGTAATATCCCTTTGGAACTTCAAATATCAAATTTGAAACAATTCCGGTGAATAATGCCGCTAACATCATCAAAATACCGAATATCGGGAGGTACCGTTATATGGGGGCTATATGAAGACGTGGACAGGCGGGCAAACGGACAGACAGACAGACGGACATCGCTAAATCGACTTAGAATTTTACGCTGATCAAGAATATATACATATTTTGTTGGGTCTGACATGAGTATTTCGAGGAGTTACAAACGGAATGACAAAGTTAATATACCCTCCATAGTATGGTGGAGGGTATAAAAACTACTTTGAAGAAATTTATGCAACTTTGGAGTGTACCGCAGTACCAATGTAAAAACCCAGCGAGGCTTTTAGTTTATAAATAAAAGTGCCCCGTCGACGGGCAAAATGCATGATATCTAAATCGTGTGCGTGTGCATGAAGCTTTCACCGAGCAAGGTTCATGCATTTATTTTGCTTTCGTGCTGTGCAGACAATGTCGATAACATAAGATACATTTTTTACAAATTTAACATCCCAAATGCTGGCAAAACCGGTAAACTTCCAACACCTCAAAAACTTTTTCTCAGTAAAAGAGCTGTAAGTTTGATATACCCTCCACCATTTGGAACGAGTTTGGCAATCCGTAACAAATCTGTTAAAATCTCAAAATACAGAATGTAGCCGTTAATTAGGGTCTATACGACCACGTGGACCTGCATAGGCAACTTTTGTCATAAGCCATTACAATATTCAACTGCGAAACTTAAAAAAAAATCGGTGAATAATGTAGCTAAAATTATAAAATACTGAATATAGGGAGGTACCATGGGGGTATAACAAAACGTGGACCTGCACAGACACCTTTCTGTCACAGAGAAAAAACGTGACACAGACAATTTTCTGTCACAGGCTGTAATATCCATTAAGAACTTAAAATACCAAATTTGAAACTAGAAGACGTGGACCTGCGCGGACAATTTTCTGTCATAAGCTCTAGTATCTATTTCCGGTGAGCAATGTGGCTCAAATCACCAAAATACTGAAAATAGGGAGGTACTATTATATGGGGGCTATACCCAAAAGTGGACGTACATGGCCCATTTTCAGTACCAAAAGTCCTGCAGACATAATATACATTTGAGTAAAATTTTATGCACCTACTTCATTTCGTTCGGAAGCAAACTTTATATACCCTCCATACTGTGTTGGAGGGTATAAAAACGTCGCAAATAAGAATATGCATGATCCCTCCACACACGTCAAAATCGAGCATCATGAACGAGAAAAATCAAAAAAAGTATCGTAGGTGTGAAGCATACATACAAATTTTCACTAACACCATAAAAATACATGTCATGCATTTTTGGAGTTTATATATTCTATAGTTTTATTCGAAAATCGGAAAAAAATCGAATAATTCATTCGAAAATAGGAAAATAATAGGATGTTTTTAATGCAAAATTCGGAAATTTTTCGGATGTTTGATACGAAATTCGATCGAAAAACCGAAATACTAAAACTTTATCTAATTTTTAGATATTTTCTTTATATTTTTCTGTTTATATTTTTCAATTTAATGATAGAACATTTTTATTAAGTCTTTTTGTAAAATATAAGGAATGCGGGAATTAAAATTCAGTGTAAATTAATATAATTACAGTTTGTTAAACCTATCTTTAGCCGAGTTGAAGAAATGATTTATATGGGTAGTTCCCGGAATATGTTCCAGTTCCGCATCTAAATAATAAAAATGAAAAATATATTATTTACATTATCAAAAAGTTTAAAACACAAGGGTATAAACCTTTAAGGAGCCTAATAAAATAGATGTCCTTTACAGTATTTTGGTGCATATCGTGCCACGAAAACGTGTTCACATTGTCGTGGCGTTGATTTTTTAAACGGTGTAGCTAAACAATTGAAGATATTAATAAAAGTAGAAATTGTAGAAAAATGTTTACTTACCACAAGGTTCTGAAGGTCCAAATCTTCCTTTAATTATCATTTTAACTTTTCACTGTAACACACTGCACACGTGCTCCGTTCAAATTCTGCCGACAAACTGATCAAAAAACCAAAACAAAAGTGGTATACACAAAATTCTTCAAATAATTTCAACCGAGCATGTGCAGAGTACTCGGAAACTTTTCGAAAAGAACGGTAAAAAAATCTCAACAGAAAAAAGTTAACTCTCTGCTGATGTCAGAATTGTTGTTTTTTTTTTCAAATGAAACAAAAGAAACGAATATGTGCAGTTTACTCGGAAACTTTTCTAGAGAAACATCCCAGCGGTCCGAAATCTACCGACATTGTAAGCGAAGGCTGGACGGGTTTGAAATCTATCGACATCCGATTCAGATGCAAGTGCGATGGACACTGTTTAGCTCAGAGGGGCTCCGCCGATGGGAGTAAAACGCCGAATGCGTCGAGCAGTGGACCGTAGGGGGGAAATATAAAAAGAAATAAAACACAATAGTTTTTCTTAATATATAGAACTATTTATTGCTAGTTTGGTGGGTGGTAACGATATTACCTGTGGCAACAATATGCCTCCTATGCACAACGATATGTGCCTTGCAAACGATATTGCGGGTGTTGTCTGTCCGAATGACAGCGAAATACTCCTTGATGTCTAAAGGAGGCGGCAAAACAAGTGACAAATAATTACTCGTTAAAACGTCAAAGGCGCTAGCACAAGGTTGCAATAAACCGTAGCGCGTACATTTTAACGAATAATTAAGGACCAAACCAGGGGTCAATAAAAAGCAATATTCAATACAATTCTAAATTAAACATGCCGACCCCCTTGAAACATCAAAGCATGTTTCAACACAATTAAACTTAATCTAATTTAGTTCCAATAATAGGTACGGGATGCATAGTGCAGTGTGAGCTTTTTGTTCGAACAAAATGTAGGGAATGGAAACGCAGATGAACCTGCAGTAACAGATTCGGGATCCATCTCCGCTACAACGATAATATGAAGCCGCAGTTGAATCTGCAGTAACAGATTCGGACTTCAATGAAGCTATGTTAATACACGATATGTAATACTTTGAAGCCGCAGATGAACCTGCAGTTACAGATTCGGACTTCAATCGAGCTAAGTGTTTCCCGAAACGATATTCGAGGGGGGTTCCAATTGAGACCCTGTGCCAATGTCGGTATATACACCGGCAGCAGTCGTGAGACCGATTTTACGCGAAGGTCGTCCTACAACGTTGTTTGCAACTTTCAATTTCTTTTTATAACTACCTTCCAAAAAATGCATTTTTATAAACTTAATAAGGTTGCTTTTAGACATTTTGTACAGCGATTTCGAACGAACAAAATTAGATTTTTGATTTTCGACTCCAACCGATGTGGAGGATATGCATTTCGAGGGACGAAAAACTGGGGCTGAAGCTGACAACAACGATTTTGCTGTGCTTGACGAAGCCTTTGGAGTCAGAACCGGAAACGAACTATTCGGTTTTAATGACTCGCCATGTAATAACGTGTGATGACGTTGACCACATTTCCAACAACTATTTTTACTAGTACAATTTACTAGTTTATGTCCCTTTGCCAAACAATTTATACAATGTTCGTGGCGCTTGACGAATGCAAACCTTTTTGCGGGAGATAATTCCTTAAATTTTGAGCAAAAATGAAAGCGATGAATTTTCTCATGACAAAGACGACACGATTTTCCAATAGAAGGGGAAGACGAACATTTAGATTTTGACTTTCTAACGGTATCAAGCGAATTTGAATCCTGCAAAGGAATGGATTTCTCTCTATAACCTTCTAAACACACGAGCGTGTTAATCCTTTCTGAAATAAAGGTGTCTAAATCTTTCCACGAAGAAAGGGCCAATTTGTTTTTAATACCTTGTTCCCATAGCATTGTCGTTTCTTCCGGCAAGCGTTGCAGGCATAGAAAGACAAGTATCGGATCCCATTGATCTGTGGGAACGTTATAGATCGACATAGAAAAAATGCAACTATTAATTCCCCGTCGGATCTCCTTAAGACCCACTGCAGTTTCTTTCTCAAGAATCGGAAGATTATGCAACGACTTTAGTTGATGATGAACCAATAATCGAATATTGTTGTATTCATCATTTAATGCTTTCCATGCGAAAGCAAAACCACGATTAGTTAGAGGAAACTGCGAAACGATTTCCCGAGCTTCTCCAGCAGTTTTATTAAGCAAATAGAACATGCGTTCGACATCACTCAAACGAGAGTTTTTTATGTAAATGGCGCTAAACAAATCCCGAAAGGAAGGCCAAGAAGAAAATCTCCCTCAAAAATATCAATATCAATGGGGGGCAGTGCCATATTGTGAACGATATCACAACTAGAAGAAATACTTGCGGCAATATTTTCCTGCGATTCAGGAACCAAAAGAGATTGAGCCGATTGCTCTTGATTTTTATCCGCGTTTTTAATCAAATTTTTTAATACACAACGAGTTTTTATAATTTTTCTATTAATTGTGGCCATAGTGCTTGAATAAATGTTTAAAGAAGCGTTGTGTTTATTTTCTGCCAAATGCAGACGTTCTTTTGTTATATTTTCCGAATTTTCTAAGATACGCAACGATTTATTTACCGATTGCCATAGTTTTTCTAACTTTCTCTTCCTTTCCTCTAAATAACTAATATCTATACCATCATCTACTGCACCGATTTGTGCACCAAATTCTATCAGAGCGTCTGAGTCTCTTATGAAATTTTGTAGAGGAGCGAAGGCCATAATTATCACAAAAAAACACTGAACCAATTTGGGGAAAAATTCAAAAATAAATAAAATAACTATTTTATTTTTATTTATTTAATTTTCCAGAATTACCGTCTATAGGTTGTATTAATTTTTAAATTTCCAAAACAACAACAAAAGAATAAAATTAACTAAATTATTTTATTTTAGTTGCAACTTTCCGATGTCCTATAACAAACAATGTAACTAACAAAAGTGACCGACCAACGTGGTGTAGCTACTCAACCTAAACGGACACGACAGAAAGAGGAATCAACAAAAATATTCTTCCTTCGTTTGTTATGTTCGTTCACTGATCTAACAATGCACAAACAACAAGTGCTGATCAGAGAACGACGACAAAGCAAGCAAGCAGCGGTGGGGGTTCAAACAGTGTCGTTGTTGTTTGCGACAAACAAAACAGAAACTGAATTTGACTGTTGTTACAACGAGAAAAAGAGAATAAATGTAACAACAACAATATGCAATATTAAAGCGGACAGAACAAACAAAAAGAATAATATTGCGATCTTTGCTTTAGTTAGTAAAGCACACCAAACTAAGAAATAACAACGACGACGTTTTTGTTGGTATCAACGAAAGAAATATTGAATGTTTTGTTGTTTGAAACGAACCAAAACAAAAGAATATTAGCAAACGATTTTTGCAATAATTTTCTTTTGGAGTTTTGTTTTGATTATGATGCTGCCGAATGCAAGCATCCAAAATAGAAGCCGACGATTGGCGGGCAACAAACAAGAGGCAAAGAGGTGACGTTGTAAAACGACCTTTGTACCTAAACAAAACCGAATGTTTTGTTATTGTCGCGGCAATTTAAAAACGCGAGCTCACTTAAAAACACTGCACTATACGTACCTTGTAATGCAGGAGTAATGGACTGTATGTTGTGGTTTCCAAAAGCGTCCAAGAGGGCTGGAATATCCGGTTCGATTGGACCAATGTTTAGCTCAGAGGGGCTCCGCCGATGGGAGTAAAATGCCGAATGCGTCGAGCAGTGGACCGTAGGGGGGTAATATAAAAAGAAGATAAATAAAACACAAAGATTTTCTTAATATAATATAGAACTATTTATTCTTAGTTTGGTGGTTGGGTAACAATATTACCTTTGGCAACTATATGCCTATCTATGCACAACGATATGTGCTGCAAACGATATTGCGGGTGTTGTCTGTCCGAATGACAGCGAAATACTCCTTGATGTCTAAAGGAGGCGGCAAAACAAGTGACAAATAATTACTCGTTAAAACGTCAAAGGCGCTAGCACAAGGTTGCAATAAACCATAGCGCGTACATTTTAACGAATAATTAAGGACCAAACCAGGGGTCAATAAAAAGCAATATTCAATACAATTCTAAATTAAACAGACACATTTTATTATATTTTGTATGTTCTTTAATTCTAATATGGATTTTGTAATAGTAATACGACTCATCTAAATCGGATGCTAGTTGTATGCTATTAACCACTGTTATTTCATTTTTTCCTATTGACAAAATAGCATACATTTGGATGGGTATTAATTTGTAATGACCAGCGGACTGCTGGGATTAGAAAATCTCCCAAAAAAGAGTTAACTCTTTGTATATGCTGTTTTTTGTCTCTTTTGCTTTGTTTTGTTCAAACAAAACAAAAGAAGCAAGTATGTGCAGATTACTCGGAAACTTTTCTGAAGAAACGGCAGAAAATCTCGACAAAAAATCGGACATCAGAACCCTCGGAAAAAATTGTTAGTTGGGTGAGTACTCATTCCCAACGCTGACAGAAAATAAACAAATTCAAACATTTACTTTTACCCATATTTACTCACAATTCCGCAACCATAAAATCACAAAAATTTTGATTGATAAAAATCTGCAGGAATGACCAGTCAATTCGAGCTTGATGACCGGTGTGCCACAAATAAGTGTAAACATTGCCAGTTTTTTCACCGCTTGTGGATGTTTGTGTCTGTGTGTGTAAGTGACTCCAGGCAGGCGTTATTTTGCACCACTGATAAACAGATTTGGCTGGGTGCATGTTGTGTGTGTGGGGGTATTGGGGAAAGTTATTTTTGTTTGTTCAACACAAAGTGGCAAAATGTGTGCGTGTGTGCAATTTCTCGGGAAGAAATGACTGGAAGTTCAGCATAAAAGAAGTAGTTACCGTTGGTCGGAATTATGGTCGTGTTCATGCCGACACAACTGAACACACCCAAATATACTACAATGATGAATGACAGCACGTGTAAATTCATGTGTAAAGAGTAGCAACAATTTAATGCGAGAGAGATATAATTGTGTTGTTCTCC